GCCGCGCCGCGCCGCCGCGGACGCCGAGGCCCCGCCGCTGGGCGCCGCGGCCCCGCTGCCGCGAGGCCCCCGGGACGGCGCTGGACCTCGCTGCTCTTTTGCGGGCGCGGAAATTAAGCGTGCACCCTGAACCCTGCTCGGCGTGAAAGCGAACCGTTCCTGGCCCGTCGCTGCGGCCCGGGCCCGCGGCGGGCGGCCGCGCCGCGTCCGCGCGGGGCGAGAGGACTGGGGCCCGGACCATCTCGTTGCCCCAGCGCGACGGCGAGCGGACGCCTGCCCCGTCGTCGCGACGCAAGACAATGCCCCATATCGGCGGCGTCACTTTAACCCGATGCCCCGCGAACTGTCGCACGGAAAGGGCGCTCTGGCGATCGCGGCCGTAAATGTCTGGCCGAACTTCGACGGGGCAGCCGATCGCAGCCCCGCTGCCGCGGGGCCTCACCGCGGCATTTCCTGACGTCATCGTACTGGAGCGTCGCCACCATCTCTCGCCGCCGCCAGGGGGGTTCTCTGTCTCTGCTGAAATCGAAGATCGCATTCTTGCCGCGGTCGCAAACAGCGACCACGGTGGGCCCTGCAATGTCACAGAATTTGGCAGGCGACCCGAACGGCGCTACTGAGTCTTCCTGCTGGCGACGCCACCATTTCAATGCTCGGTCGCGTTGTTGATGCGAGTTGCCGAGCCCCTTCGCACTTGGCAAAAAATCGACGTCAAACTCTTCGCGCCCCTGAGAGCTGCACGCCGCCGCTTCTGCGGTAGCACCGGGCCCTGCCAGAGCGTGCGCGGCGCGCCTGGGATCCCGACCCGCACTCCGGCAAATTATCTCCAGGTTCTCGCGAGTTTCGGATGGCAGGCCCTCGCGAAATGAGCCCACCGGGGCAGGTCAAATCCAGGGGCATGGGGGCTCACGGCGCCAAGCGCTGCGAAGGAAGGCAGCCTTGGAGGCAAGTCCGCCGCCGGTGCTGCGGCTTCACCGCCATCGCGCCATGCGGAATCCTGTCCAAGCACGGTTGTCGCCCCAACCCTGTAGCCAATCTACCCAACCCCACGCTGACCAATCACGGCCGTCGCCCCTGCCATGGCCCCACCTATCGTTGCGGCTGGACCCCCACTCTGCCGCGCCATTCCATTTGTTTCGGCTGGTATCGCCAATTGCAGGACGATCGCGATGGCGCGCTTCAGGCCGCGAGCAGTCCGAACGCACCGTTGCTCGCGGACGACCCCGCGGGCGTGGGATGGTTCGAACATAACGGCGACGGACGGCGCAATGTGATTAGATGGCCGAGCGGTCGAAGAGAACGGTTGCGGGAAGAGGGGAAACGAAGTGCACGAAAATTGGGGAGACGAACCAGAAAGGGGAGAAACGGGCGGAAGGAAGGACGAAACGTTGAACGGGAAACAAAAAAATGTGGATGAGGACGGCAGCAAAGGAGGAGATGGCGACGAACTAGCCACACGAGCGCGTGAAAGAACAAAGCACGGATCACGAACGCGAAGGTAATGAGCGCGGACTTAACAAGCAGATCATTCGAAATATCAGGAGCGAAACAATTCGACAAGCAAGACAAGGAGAAACGGAATGACAAGCCCTTCTGTCACAGAGGGCCTCCGCCTCCCGTTCAAGTGTCCCTTTCTGTGACAGAGTGGCGACATTATCACTTGATTCCGGATTGTGGGTTAGCGCCGCGCACACGAGTTTCAAGCATTTCCCCCACCTACAAAGAGGGAGGGCGGGTCGATTTCAAAATGAGGTTCTCGCACTGGCGCCGCGTACACACGTCCAACATATCCGTATACATCTTCGAGCGGTACCACAATGGAGGGCGACCGGTTTTCAACATGTGGCTCTCGCCGTAGCACGCACATGTGCCTGTAAAGTCCCAACAGGGCAGGCGTGTACAAGGTTGAGGGGCGGCTTATGTTTGAAATCGGGCTCTAGACTGCGACTTCCTTGCAACTGCCTCAAACATTGCAACCCGAAGTGAAGCATTGCACATACATTCCCAAGACGAGGGGCCCTTTTCTAAATGAGGCGATTGCTTGGAACATCCTTACATGCACTGCCCGAGGTGAAGTATTGCGCAACAAAAACATGGATGGAGAACATGTTTCAAGATGAGGCTATACAAACTTGGTATCGCCTGAGACGTTGGCAACACGTACTACCACCAAGTCACAATGTTTGCAGTCACACGCATGGCGGGCGGTTCCTTTTTCCGAACAGTACTCCCGCTTGAGACTTCCTTCGTTAGGACCAGACCGAAAATTGTGTCACGGTTGCTTTGATCGAAGACGCGCCCTCTTTCATAGCGGGGCTGTTATAAGGTCGTTCCGAGAGTTCGATGACCCACATTGACGCATGCAGTTTCTTTCACAAAGGAGATCCCGTCTGAAGCTCCAGCGGAGGATGTTTGTCGCGTAGTGAAAATAAGCGCCTGCAAGGACGTATGATGAGCCTGGGGAAGGGAGCACGTATTACAGCACCGATGATGCATCCTACGGATCCTCTGGTCCGCCTGCTCCCCATCCTCCTCCCCCTCATAATGGTCATCACCCGCATCCTTGCCATCCTCATCCGCACCCTCATCTTCAATCCACCTTCCCGGTGAGTAGCTAAAGCACCCCTGCCATACCCCCAGACGTGTCGGTGGGGCAGGCCACAAGTTTCGCCTTCCTTACCACGTATGATCCTGACGCTTGAACTTCGGGGTAAATTCACGGCGGGAGGGCGGGTCCTTTCCAAAATGTGGCTCTCGCGTTAGCGCCGCGCACATTCGACGTTAAGGTTTTCAGCAGCTTGGTGGATGAAGGGCGGGTGGTTGCCAAAATTTGGCTCCGGCCTAAGCGCCGCGCACATTCGTCTTCACAGTTCGCAGCAGATTCAAAGATTGCGGGCGGCTCCTTTTCAAAATGTGGCTCTGGCCTGAGCGCCGCACACATTCGCCCTGGAAGCTTGCAAGAATTCCAAAAAAGGATTCGTCTGGTTGAAATCCAAGGAAAAACGTTCTGGCGCGACTTCGGACTGCCAGGGCGCAACCACGTTGATTCGCGGTGTCGAAGTTCAAGGGATGGTGCACTGGCGCGATTCAGAATTGCCAGGACGTCGCGTTCACGTGGATTCGCTGGGCTGAAATTCCAGGAATGATGTTTTGGCAGGGGTAGAAAATCTCAAGCGGCTGTCTTCCAATGGGGCAGGTCCCGCAATGAACATGAATTTTTGTAGGGAACCATGCAGAACTTGCAGTGTGTATTGCAACATCGTTGGCACGTCGCGGGTATCCCCAATCATCATAATCATCAGCAGCAGCAGCAGCAGGAGTAGCATCAGCATCATCATCATCATCATCATCATCATCATCACCACCACCATCACCGTCACCATCACCATCATCACCCGCATACTCATCCGCATCATTACCTTTAGGAGCCATCATCACCACAATCATCATCACCATCATCTCCATCATCATAATCAGCATCGTCGTCAGCATCATCAGCAGCATCAGCAGCATCATCATCTCATTCGACCTTGATATCATCATCACCACCACCACGATCAGCGTCATCATTATCATCGCCAGCATCATCAATATCATCGGCCAGCAGAAACATCACAAAAACCGGCATCATCCGCCACCAGTATCACCAACATCATCGGTATCACCATTGACATCGAAATCATCAGCATCACCAGAACCATCATCACCATGATCATCATCACCCTCAGCATCACCCCCCTCATCACCATCATCAGGATCGTCGTCGTCATTATCAACAACAGTACTATTATCATCAGCACCATCGTCGTCGCCGTCATCCCCATCACCACTACACACCGCAAATCATCATCATCATCATCAGCATCATGAACACCACCATCACCATCACTACCAACATCATCATTAGGATCATCATCATCACCATCAACATCATCATCCGCATCGCCATCATGTTCAACATCAACATCATCAGCAGCATCATCATCATCAGCAGCAGCATCAACATCATCATCATTATCACCACCACCACCACCACCACCACCTACTCCGTCACCAACACCTCCTCCTCAGGCCGCGCCAGACGAGGTAGAGCGCAGACCAAGCGGCGCCCCCCCCCCCGAAGTCCTCGGAGACCCGAGCGTCCATCCAGCATCCCTTGCTGCGGGAGAAAACGTGAACGGCCTCGGGCAATCGGCGTCTTCGTCTCAAAGTCCTGTTCCTGGTCCTGCTCCACCTCCTCACCGTGCTCCTCCTCCTCCTCCTCCTCCTCCTCCTCCTCGTCGCCCGCGTCGTCATCATCATCATCATCATCATCATCATCATCATCATCATCATCATCATCATCATCATCATCATTATCAGCAGCATCATCATCAGCATCATCCCCAGCATCTGAACTATCATCATCAGGGCCATCAGGATCCTCATCACCCTCAGCAGCACCAGCATCGTCATCAGCATCATCATCAGCAGAAGCATCAGCATCATCATCATAAGCCTCATCATGATCAGCATCATCATCATCATGAGCATCATCATACTCTGCATCGTCGTCGCCATCATCGTCATCATCATCAGAAGCAGCAGCAACATCAGCATCAGCATCAGCATCATCGGCATCGCCATCATCATCATCATCAGCAGCAGCAACAGCATCATCGTCATCATCATCAACATCATCAACATTCTTACCATCGTCATCAGCATCATCATCAGCATCACCATCCGTATCAGCATTAGTAGCATCATAACTATGTTCATCAGCGGCATCAGCATCAGCATGATCATCAGCATCATCATCAGTATCATCGTCATGATCCTGATCATCCTCCTCATCATCAATGTCTTCATCATCATCATAATCATCATCACTAGCATCATGATAATGATCATCATCATCATCATCATCATCATCATCATCACCATCACCATCATCATCATCATCATCATCCGCATCATCATCAGCAGCAGCATCATCATCACCGTGGTCGTTACTATCGTCAGCATAAGCAGCATCAGCAGCAGCGGCGGCATTATCACCATCATCGTCATGATCGTAATCAGAATCAGCAGCATCATCATCAGAACAACAACAGCATCGTCATCAGCATCATCATCGTCATCCTCATCGTCATCAACATCAACATCATCATAATCATGTTCATCAGCAGCATAATTATCATCATTACCATCATAACCATCACCATCACCATCACCATCATCATCAGCATTCATCATTATAATTAACATCGTCATCCTCATCATCATCATCATCATCATCATCATCATCATCATCATCATCATCATCATCATCATCATCATCATCATCATCATCATCCCCACTCCTCCTCCTCCGCCCCCATCCTCCAGCTGCAAAGGGTTGGCATTGGGCTGTATCGACTGTGGACTGGTCTGACCTCCTTGGCCGATGAGACAACCCGTTAGGCAGATTGCACATATCTACCTCGAGGATCGGGCCGACCAAGAGGACCTCACGGCAGCACATGTTCGCTCCACGGCTGAGGCGTCGCAAGTGGAAGAGCCTCCGCCGCCGCTTGATGAGCAGCCAGTGGAGCCAGCTGATCAGGAAGTAGGGTGGTCGTTCGAGCGTGAGTACGGGGTTGGTCCTGGTGCCTGGCGGGGCACTATGCGAGACCCTCTCGAGTGACGAGGCCGCCGACTGCTGCAGGCCGAGGTTCTCGGCCGCAGCCCGCGATCTGCGACGACCCTTTGCTGTTGCAGCTGCGGCGGCGCCGTCTCCTCGGATGCCGGCCTGACCCTGGGCCTGGAGAGCACCTCCGGGGCGCAGCGAGCGGGGACACGGGCGCCGCGATTCAGCTCCGCGGGATCAAGCTCGGCCCTGTCCCCCCCGCGCAGGCCTGGGTGCCGCGGGAGCTGAGGCTGGACGCCCCGCGTGGCGTGCTGCCGACGGCGCGAGCCGCTCCGCGGGAACGGGCTGCTGCGCGCCTTCCCCCCTCCGAGGGGCCGCCCGGGCCCGCTGGCAGACCCAGCCGGATCGCACCGCCGAATCGGACCGGATTGGAAACGCGCCGGATCGCCAGCGACTCGGATAGGGGGCCACATGCGAACCCTACCCCTACCCCCCACGATTTTTGAGGGGGAGGGTGGGGTTCACTTCGCTCGTGACCTCCCGAATGAAGTGAACCCCACCCTCCCCCTCAGAAATCGTGGGGGGTAGGGGTAGGGTTCACATGTGGCCCCCTATCGGACCGAGCCGCATCGAGATCGCATCGCCGCACCCGGCGAAGGCGGGGCCGTACCCGCGCCCGCGCTGGGGGATGGAGCCGGATCGGATCGAATCGGGGTCGCGGCTCTCTGGCTGCCGGGGGAGCCGACCTTGTGTAGGTCCCGGAGCTCGGGCGCTTGGCCCTCCAGAGAGCGCCTTGAGAGCCCTGGGGACGCTGCCTGCGGTGGGAGCGAGTCCGACGAGTTGTCCCACTCTTACTGACAAGGATCCAGGACAAGCCCATGACATGGCATGCCTCGTCCCTCCTCATTCCACGTCCTGCCTCCCCCACGCCACCATTCGTCCCCCTCCCAGCCACGAGCCAGCCTCCGAACCCTGCCTGGTGCCACCCGATCATCCTTCCAAATGATCCTGGCGAAGGACCCAACCACTTGCAGTTGTGAATAACGCGATTGTGAGCATCATTTTCGCAGAATCTCCCTATGGGGCCACGGAACGTGTGAGGGCTGTGCCGAAACGGGTGCAGGGGCGCAGGTGGCCACTGCCATTGGGGCCTTCGGCGGAATTCCCGATGGGGCCACGAAGCGTGTGAGACCTCTGCCGAAAGGGGCGGAAGGGACGCATGTGAGCACTGCCGAAGGGGCCTTCGGTGGAGATCCCAATCGGGCCATGAAACAGATGAGGTGTGTGCCGAATTGTGCGGGGGCGCATGTGAGCACTGCAGCTGGGGCTTTCGGTGGAGCTCCCTATGGGGACACAAAACGCGTGAGCGGTGTGCCGAAGTGGGCGAGGGGGGGGCGTATGTGAGCACTGCCACTGGAGCCTTCGGTGGAGATCCCTATGGGGCCACGAAGCGTGCAAGGGGTGTCCCGAAATGGGCGGGGCGGACGCGTGTGGCCACTGTCACTGGGGCCTTCGATGGAGCTCCCTATGGGGCCACGAAGCGTGCAAGGGTTGTGCTGGGGTGGGGGGGACGCATGTGGCCACTGCCACCGGGGCCTTCGGTGAAACGCTCTATGGGGCCAAGAAACGAGTGAGGGTTGGGCCGAAGTGGGTGGGGGGACGCTTGTGGCCACTGCCACTGGGGCCTCAGGAGGGGGGCAACGAAACATGTAAGGCGTGTGCCGAAATGGGTGGGGGGGACGCGTGTGGCCACTGCCACTGGGGCCTTCGGTGGAGCTCCCTATGGGGCCACGAAGCGTGCAAGGGTTGTGCTGGGGCGGGGGGACGCATGTGGCCACTGCCACTGGGGCCTCAAGTAGGGCTGCCTATGGGGCAACGAAACGTGTGAGGGGTTAGCAGAAATCGGTGGGGGTGATGCATGTTGTCTCTGCCACTGTGGTTTTGGGTGGAGCTCCTTATGCGGTCACGAAAACGTGCAAGGGGTGTACCGAAATAGAGGCACGCGGAGGGCAGAGGCAAGGATGGGAGGAGGGTAGAGGGAGGAGAGGGAGGAGGGAGGAGAGGAAAGGACGCGGGGCGCTGTCTCTTCAAAACGAGAACCCAACACAACAGGATGATTAAGAACAAATTCAGAAACGTCTGGCATACCTGATCATCGAACCTCGGCCCTTGATCGTCGATATTCCTGACCATCCTCCACCACTCATACCACCACCATCATCATGAGCAGCATCATCAATGATCAGCAGCAGCATCATCATCAACATCATCATCAATCAACTGCAGCAACAACAACATGCTCATCATCATCCGCATCCTCAGCCTCATCCGCATTCACATCATCATCCGCATACTCATCCTCATCCTCATCATCACTACTACCACCACTATCATCAGCAGCATCAAAAACACCACCACGATCACCATCACCACCATCATCATCATCATCATCATCATCATCATCATCAGCATCAGCATCATCATCATCAGCATCATCATCATCATCATCATCATCATCATCATCATCATCATCATCATGATCATCATCACCATCATCATCAGTATCGTCGTCATCCTCATTATGATCCTCATCAGACTCATCACCATCATCATCCTCATCATCATCGGCATCATCATCAGCAGCATAACATCATTGGCGTCGTCAGCAGCAGCCTCATCACCATCGTCTTCATCGTCATCAGCATCATCATGGTCGTCAGCATCATCACCATCATCATCATCATCATCATCATCATCCTCATCATCATCATCATCACCGTTATCAGCAACACCATCGCCATCATCACCATCATCATCGTCGTCTTCACAATCAGCATCATCATCATCATCATCTTCTTCATCATCATCAGCTCAGAATCTGCATGACTAGCATCAGCCTCATCATTACCATTGTCGTCATCGTCATCAGTAGCACCATCATGAGCAAGATCCGCATCAACCTCGGATGCAGCAGCCTCATCATCATCATAAGCATCGCCAGTATCATCATCATCATCATCATCATCATCATCATCATCATCATCACCATCATCATCGTCATCATCATCATCATCATCATCATCGTCATCCTCATCATCATCGGCATCATCGGCATCATGATAATCAGCATCACTATAATCATCAGCACCACAATCAGCGACATCATCATCAGCGACATCATCATCATCATCAGCATCATCATCATCAGCACCATTATCATCACACTCAACATCATCATCACCATAATCACCAACGTCACGATCATCGTTATCGTCATCATCATCGTCGACATCAACATATTCATCCATAGTATCCGTTTCATTATCCGCATCAGCATCATCATCGGCAGCGCCATTATCATGATCATCATGAGCATCATCAGCATCAGCATAATCATCATCAGTATCATCCCCGTCATCATCATCAACAAGCATCATCATCATCATCATCATCATCATCATCATCATCATCATCATCATCATCATCATCATCATCATCATCATCATCATCATCATCACCATGAGCATCACCATGAGCATCATCATCATCATCAGCAACGCAATCGTCATCGTCGTCGTCATCAGCAACATCACCAACCACCATGCGGATAACATCAATGAGACTCGTGCTGCGCTCGTGTTGCAGAAACGCATCTACATAATCCGTCTATCGACGCCATGGCCGACAGCGACGTCGCGGGCCGGCAGGGCTCCAGCGTAAATCTTGCGCGGGCCATTCTTGCGGATCGCTGGTGGCGAGTCGTGCCACGAGGCGCCACATTAAACAATCCATCTCGACGATCCAGTCGGACACAGGGAAAGTTTGCATAGCAACACGCACTTTTCGCTTGCACTGTCGCCCCGCTTCTTCCCAGCTCTCGCCGGGAAGCATGCTGAAGCCGACTATCCGAAGGAGCCTTCTTGCACGAGTTGATGTAATCGCTGACCTGTGTCGTGGCGGTCGTCGAAAGACCGTAAAGAGCAGCGGGCGTAACCACAGTGTCGAAGAAGATCAAACGCAGACGCAAAGGTGTGTTTATATATATATATATATATAGATATATTCAAGAGCACCGCTTTGTGGAAATGGAATGGTGCCAGCGTAAACCACTTCACGACTTTTTCGAATGGTGTAGTGGTCTACGCTTCTATGAACAGAGCCAGGTTGTCCTCACAATGCGATGTCTGCCCACGGCGGGCGGTCACCTGGGCGACGTTGAAGATTCTGAACCTTGGAGGGCCTAATCGATTCGCACTTACGACAGTGGGTTCGTCACATGAGGTTGGCAAATCGACAGCGGATGCCACTGCAGATCTTGAAATGGCTGGAGGAAAAGGCAGGAGGCGGAGGAGGGGCCTGGAGGCGGCCAGTGGGTGGGAGGTGGATAAAGCCCGAAAGAATCTCAAAACCGGTCCCGGGACTCCTCCCCGGGTCCAGTTGGTATAATTGTTAACCCCGGATCCGTTTTTTGACGATGGTAGGGCCCGAAAACGGTCCCTGGATAATGCAAAAGGCAAAGAACCTTGTCGAACCGAGCACCTGGAACCTGCCCCCCCTTTCCTCCCGGCCGTAACCAGCGCTGGGTCGCCTCAGACCCCCAGCCGACTCTGAGGAGGAGCTACGGTTGGCGCTGCAAAGATAGCGTGCAACATCGACCTCCGAAAAAACACGCTATCCCTGTGAGGCGATCCCCCCGCGAGAGCCCCTTCTGCGCACGCTAATCCCCTGCGAGGGCCTCGTCGGTGCACGCGCTCCCCCGGTGCACGCTATTCCCAAGCTGGGGCGAAGCGTGCACTCGACGGGCCGGCGGCGCCACATCGCACGCTGCTCCAAACTTCGGAATGGAAGGGAGAGGGCCGCAACCCTCCCAGACGAGCAGTTCTACCCCCCAGGCCAGCCATGAAAGGGCGGCCTCCAAGGCCGCTCACCACCCTCGTGTTGTGAAATCCGGAATGTTCTGCGACGCCAGCAATAGGAGCGCCAACGTCCCCCGGCAGGAGGGCGGCGCGCGCCTGCCCCACAGCGTACGACGCGCTTGGCGGCGGGGCGCCCGAAGCGGGCGACGCGGCCGGTGACGGCTGGCCTGGCTGGGCGCGGTCGTCGCCGTCGTCGTCGTCGTCTTGGTGGTGGTGGTGGTGGTGGTGGTGGTGGTGGTGGTGGTGGTGGTGGTGGTGGTGGTGGTGGTCGTCGCCTTCGTCGTCGTCTTCGTCGTCGTCATCGTCGTCGTCGTTGCGGTCGTCCTCGTCGCCGAGGTCGTCGTCGTCGTCACCGTTGTCGTCACCGTCGTCGTCGTCGTCGTCGTCGTCGTCATGTCGTCATGTCGTCTGTACATCCATCCTCCTGTTCCTCCCAATGTTTCCTCCTCCTCCTCCTCCGCCTCCTCCTCCTGCGCTCCTATCTCCTCCTCCTGGTCCTCCTCCTCCTCCTCCTCCTCCTCCTCCTCCTCATTATGCTCCTCCTCCCTCCTCCGTCCTCCCTCCTCCTCCTCCTCCTCCTCCACATCCCCGACCTCCTCATCATTAGCATACTCCCCTTATGTGCCTGAGTCATCTTCGTCGCATATATATATACATGTACATACTATTATCCATCGCGCTAGCATTGTTTTTTCTCGTGTCTCATACTTTTAAAATACAAATACCCCGAACCATATCATATCATTCATGTGTGATTCCGTGTATATAAAAAAGGTCGTGCTCTTACGATGATTATTATGGTTCGACTTATCGATATCATTCGCAATGATATGAGATATCATCCGTCTTATTACCAATACTGGCATTTGCATGCTCACTGTTTCCGAAACTGATCATCGTGACGCTTACCCTGGCCAGGAGACTCTTGTGTGTCTCGGGCCAGGCAGATCCGACGAACAGGATGGTTCTCGGGCGGGGCACGGCAGAACGAGAGAGAAAGACAGAGAGACACGAACGAGACTGACACACACCACCACAGACACAACACAGCACAACTCACACACAAGCGAACGAGGAGGAAAGGGAGAGAGAGAGAGAGAGAGAGCGCGAAGACCCACGTCCCCAAAAAAATCTGGAAAAATCTGGGGGCACAAATTGCCACAAACTTAACCTCGGCGCACACTGCTACCCAGCGAGTCCTTCTCCCCGCACCCTTTTGCTTCATCCTGCCCCCCGTCCAACCCACCCATCCCCATCCGAGCGGGGCCCTGCCGACCGCTCCCTCACCGTTTTCCCCCAACCCCCATCCCCAAGCGAATGCGATCCCGAGGAGGAGGAGCAGCAGCAGCGGGTGTAGCAGCGCAGCAGCAGGGCGAGAAGGACCAGGAGGAAGAGGAGGAGTTGGAGCGAGAGGAGAAGGAGGAGGAGGAAGAGGAGGAAGGAGGAGGGTCGATCGATCGAGCCTGGAGCCTCGTAGCCTTCAAGCATCTGGTCTGCCCTAGCTCTGCTCGTGCACCTCGGTGGCATCGGTGTCCACCGCTGTGACACGGTCCGCGAAATCCGCGGGCCCCCTTGTGGGGCCACCAGGCTGTAGGACGAAGGTTCGCAGTTTCCTGTACCAGTTGCAGCTTCCAGGTTCCACTGTTACAGTTCTGCTTCTAGCTCTTTACTGCTCCACTGTCACAGTTCTGCTTCTTGCTGCTTACTGTTCCTTGTTGATGGACCGCGCGAAGGGGGGAGGCCCAAAACGAGCATTTTTACCACGCCCTGAGCGTGTTGTCTGAATTGCTGGGGTGGGTAAAAATTCACACCGCTCACGCAGATCGGCGGGGTCAGGGTGCAAAAACACATGGGATTTGCCACATGTCTGAAATTCGCTGGCACCCCTCACGCAGATCGGCGGGGTCAGGGTGCAAAAACACATGGGATTTGCCATGTTTCTGACATTTGCTGGCACCCCTCACGCAGATCGGCTGGGTCAGGGTCCAAAAACACACGGGATTTGCCACATGTCTGAAATTCGCTGGCACCCCTCACGCAGATCGGCGGGGTCAGGGTCCAAAACCGTAGGGGATTTGCTACATTTCTGAAATCCGGTGGCACCCGAGACGCAGATCCGTAGGGGAAGGGTCGAAAGACAAACAGGTCCCGACACTGCTTCGCGGCGGCGCCCAAACCTCATGATTTAGCTTTTGCATCTCCCATTATCCGAGACAGGGGGCCGGCGGCATGGGGCCAAGCCCTTACGGATTTTGCTGCAACTCGTGCGCCGCGGAGTTCTGAGTGCTGGCGCCCAGCGTCGCGTCCCGGTCTGCGAAGCTGTGCAGCAGCTCCTCGTGCGCGGTGGTGTCCCTCTTCGTGATCTTACCTGCGAAACCTTCAGTTTGTCGTGCGTCGCGGTGTCCTTCGTGTCCAGGTTGTTGTCCTGGTCTGCGCTGTTGTTCTCGGGCGCCGTGTAAGAGTTGCCGCTGTTTTTCGCGTCGCACCCCTTCTGCTCCTCGAGCGTCGCCATAGTGATGTCGTCAAGCTGGGCCTGTCCAACGCAATGCAGGAGTAGTGGCGTCGTGCTCGTTTTTGTGAGTTCGAAGCGCACGGCGTTGCATGGTACCACGGCCATCCAACGGGCACGCTGTGCATGCTGATCGGATGGTTGACAACAGAAGCAGGAGGAATTGTCGATGCCGCTGCTGAATTGCGGGCCGCCACCGCCTATCTCTCATCGCGATATGCGCTTTGTCTGCGCTGCTGCGCGCGCGGCCCTGACTATCTCTCGGGCCCGGATGTCAACTGACAAACAGGGGATTGCCACGCCGCTGCGCAGGCAATCACCGCCCTACTCTCTCATCGCGACCTGCGTAAAGACCGCGTTTCTGCGCGCTGCCCTGACAATCTCATGGGCCCAGATGGCAATGGACGAGCAGCGCACGAGGAATTGCCCATGCCGGATAGGAGGACAGGGAGGAGGAGGAGGAGGAGGAGCAGGAGGAGGGGGAGGAGGAGGAGGAGCAGGAAGAGGAGGAGGAGGAGGAGGAGGAGGAAGAAGAGGAAGGGGGCGAAAACTGGCCTCAGTGCGCGCGGGTTGCTCCTGGCGCGCGGCCTGTGCTGGACCAAAGATCCCCAATGGCCCCCACGGCTGGAAGACTAAGGACGGGCGATGGGGGCAGGGGAAGCGACCAGGGGAGGAGGGGAGGCGGGAGCGTCAGGAGCAGCAAAAACAAAAGCAACAGCAGCAGCAGCAGGAGCTGCAAGAGGATTATCAGGGACTTTCCTGACATGCACGCATGTGTCCCTTGCTTCAGTCACTGTCTCCGCTCTCTACCTGCTGCCTGCCCGCCCGATGGCACACCTCAGCCTCCTCGGAGCGGGGGGCAACTGAGACGACAGAAGGCCCCCGCCCCGCACAACCACCACCACCCCTCCCCCATCCCTCTCCCCCCTCCCCTCCCCCTCCCCCCCCCTCAAGCACATGTGGCTCGAAAGTTCTCCTTGCCCGTTTGGGCTCTGGGCAGTTTCGACGTCGCGTGCCACGCCTCCACGTGGCGCTTGGGGGACGCCCAGGCTGCCGCACCGTGAGTGCAGCTTTTCTGGGCGACGAAGTGGGACGCATCGTGAGAACACCAGCGGTCTACCTGAAGCTCTCCGGCCTCCGGCAAGTCCTGGTGCCCTTCAGCCTGCTCGTCTTCGCGAACCTGGCCGCCTTGACGGGGCTGGTTCACGTGTTCGACCTGGGCATGGTCTTCCTCGGCTTCTGGCTGCGCTGGCACTCCTGTCACGAGGACGCCCTTTGTGCAAATACCAGTGCTGTGCGCGGCCCGTCGGCGCGCCTTCTGCTACCGTGTTGCAATGGGCCCGCGCACCAAAGGCTGAGCAGTGGCTGCTACGTAAAGGCTGGTCGTACGGCCCTTCGGTGCGTTCTCAGGTTCAGTGCCGCAGTGGGTCAGTGCCTCGTGGGCTGCTCGGATTAGGGGGCGGTTTTCAAACCTTTCGGCCTCTACGCCAATGTTTGGATCGGCATGTGCGAGAAAGGCGTGCAATGGAAACTATTTCTGTCGGTGCGTAGCTCGCGGTGGGAAGCGAAGCTGGCCCCGACCGTTATCAGTTACATCGCTGGGACCAGTACGTGCGAGAAAGCAGGCAGCGGCGGACAGTGGCAACTATCTGTATCGGTACAAGGCTCAGCGACGGCGGTCCGTCGGCGCGTTTTCTTCTTCAGTGCCACGATGGACCAGCTGAGATAAGTGCTTGGGTCAAGGCTGGCGTGTTTTTTTTCGTTGGTGGGATTTAGTTCTGGCCTGTCAACCTTTGTTTTGATTGGGCCAAACACTTTCTGGCATGGCGCTCGGTTGGCGGCGTGCTGGCTTCAGTACTTTCCATCCGCATCTTTCAGTCAGTTCAGCGTTGTCCGGCATAGTGCCTGGGCCCATTATTTTCGCTATGTCGCTCGTTGGGCGCAGGAGGGAAGAAACTGCACCTTTGTTGCTGCCTTGCAAGGTTCTCTGTGGAGGAGGCGATCTGGATAACACACGTGAAAGGTTGCCCAGTTATCTGTGGTGCAAATCATAGTAGCACCGAATCGAGCCGAAATCATGTCAGCCAAAATTGTTACGCGATCAGTGTGTGGTGAGGCATACATTCGAGGTGTGTACGGGGTGCGTCTCCTCCGTGGGTGAGCTCAAGGGGCGGCCTCTAGAGTGTTGAATCATATCGCGCCGCGATGGGGCCCATTCCACTCCACAATTACTCAATATGAATACTACTCTCCCTCTTCCCCTGATGACGGCCTGGGAGTGTCCGATCCCCCCCCGCGTACTGTTTTTTTACACACAGGTTTCCCCGGAGCTGGGTTTTCGCCTGCATTTGTTTCCAAAATGCTGCTCTCGCTGAGGCGCCGGCCTCATTTTCGAGCCCCGCTCGTTCCGAATCGTGCTCCCGCTGCAGCGCTGGCCTCATTTCCGTGCTTCCGCTCGTTCCGAATCGTGCTCCCGCTGCAGCGCTGGCCTCATTTCCGCGCTTCCGCTCGTTTCGACTCGTGCTCCCGCTGCAGCGCTGGCCTCATTTCCCGTGCCATGCCACGGCACGCAATGCAATGCCAGGTTGATACTACGCTTTGCGGTGCTCTTCTACGCCATGCCATGCCGTGCTCTACAATGCATCGCGTACCCTTTCGGGATCCTTGCCCTGCCCGACATCCGACTGTGCCAGTAGAGAGGGGATCTACGCCTTGGTAAGGGATGGGAGGGAGGGGTTGGAAGTCAGATAGGACGCGAGCGCACCTAGCTTGTCCTCCCCCCCTCCTCCTCCTCCTCCTCCTCCTCCTCCTCCTCCTCCGCCCCCTCCGCCTCCTCCGCTTCCGCCTCCGCCTCCGCCTCTCCCTCCTCCTCCTCCTCCTCTCCTCCTCACTCCTCCTCCTCCTCCTCCACCTCCTCCTCCTCCCCTCACCTCCCTCCTTCTCCACCTTCTCCTCTCCTCCTCCTCCTCCTCCTCCTCCTCCTCCTCCTCCTCGTCCTTCCCCTCCTCTCCTAGTCCCTCCTCCTCCTCCTCCTCCTCCCTCCTCGCTCCTCCTCCTCCTCCCTCCCTCCTTCCTCCCCTCCTCCTCTCCTCCTCTACCTCCTCCTCCTCCTCTCCCCTCCACCTCCTCCTCTCCTCCCCCCCCCGCCCCTCAACCCCCCTCCCCTCCTCCCCTCCTCCTCATCCTCGTCCTTCTCTCCCCCTCATCCTCCCCCTTCTCCCTCTCCTCCTCCTCCTCCCCTTCCTCCTCCTCCGCCTCTCTCCTCCTCCTCCTCACTCCTCCTACCCCTCCTCCTCACCCCTCCTCCTCCCCTCCGCCTCCTCCTCCTCCTCCCCTCCTCCTCCTCCTCCTCCTCCTCCTCTTCCTCCCCCTCCGCCCCCCCAAGCGCGGATCCAAGGAGTCCGCGCGGAGCTCCGAAAGCGTGCGCTCATGCGGCTGCGTCTCTTTCGAGCCTCGGCCCTGAGCTGCGCCAGCTCCTGCGAGCTCGACTCGGCGCTCTCCTTGAAGGCCGTGAACTCCTCGATTGTGTGCGTGTGTCTGTATGGGTGTATGGTCATGTCTATTTTATATGTATATATATGTTTGTATGCGTAGATGTACGTGTGTAGGTGTGTATGCATATCCATGTACGTGTGTGCATCGGCGCTTTCAAAACAGAACAAAAACGTGAGCTCCTGGATGATGCCGTGCAATACGTCGCTCTGCTTCTCCGCGAGGTCCGAGCGATCCTGGCGCTCCGTCTCAAGCATCTCCTGCAGTTCCTTGAGGCCAACGCCGTCGGCGTCCTCGGCGGCGGTGCCACCACGGTTGGCCTGGGCGCACATCTCCTCGACCTGCCCCTGGAGGCGCCTCTCAGCCTCGCGCATGCCCCTCTCAAGGCTGGACAGCACATTGTCCTGCAGGTTGGCTAGCTGCTCCTGCAGGTTCACCGACTGCTGGCTGAAGGAGTGTCTCAGGGCCTCCAGTTATGTCGGGCATGTCCTCCTACAGGCGGATTCGGGGCGAAAGATAAAAAGATTCAAAAAGTACGCAACAATAGTCCAACTAATTAGTCAAAGCATCGTCCCCTGACTATTTCTTGACTACTTTTGAATATTCCTGCTTAGTCGGACACGCCCGACTTAAGGCCTCCAGGGACGTGCTCTTGACCTTCTCCAGGACACTCTCGCGCAGCGCCGCCTGCTGCTGCGAGGGCTCCTCGCCACACTTAAGCTGCTCCTCAAGGTACTGAACGCGCTCGCCGAGCTTCACGAGGAAGTCCATGCCTGGCAACCGCATCGGCGGCGGAGTCCTCCTGCCCGCGCCGTCTTCGGCTTTGTCGTCCTCCGCCGCCTTCTGACTGGCGCCGCGCCTAGGGGACCTAGAAGAAGAACAAGAGGCCATAAGCGTAAACTTGTGGCGTTCCGCACAGATTTCTCGGATCTGCGCCGGACCCCCCCTCCCTGACGCGCGGAGCGCGCCAGGGGCGGTGCCGGAGGCGCCGCCAGGGGGGCCCAGCGCGGATTCGAGAAATCCGCGCGGAGCGCCCAAAGTGTATGTTTATGGCGTTTTTCCTCTTCGAGGGCCTCATAGAGGTCGACCGCGGCGTGGTGGCGAGCCTCTCCCCGTCCGTGCCGGCGGTCGGCGAGCTGGGCGCCGGCGGCGGAGGCATCGTCCCCACGGGGGGCGGCGGCATCGGGCCGTGCGCCTGCTGCTGCTGCTGCTGCTGCTGCTGCTGCTGATGCTGATGCTGCTGCTGCGCCTGCGGCGGCACCTGCTGGGCTCGACACGCCGACGGCGCACCTATGCGCCGATCCTTGCTGGGCACCGCCTCTGGGGCCCAGGAAGGGCCCTATAGGGCCAGGGCGCGCGCGAGGTGGGCAAATGGCACGAGCTCGACTCGCCGGAGCCTCGGTTCGCCCGGGCTCGGTTCGGCGAGGCTTGTTCCGCTGGGGCTTCGCGGGGGCTCGGTTCGCCGGGGCTCGGTTCGCCCGGCTTGGGTCGCCCGGCTCGGATCGCCGAGGCTCTGTTCGCTGGGGCTTGGCTCGCCGGGGCTCGTTTCGCCGGGTCTCGTTTCGCCGGCTGGAGCTTCGTTTTGCCAGGGCTCGTTTCGCCGAGGCTCGTTCGGCCGGCCAAATTCTCGTTTCGCCGGAGTCTCGTTCCGCTGGGGCTCGTTTCGCCGGGGCTCGCTTCGCCGGGGCTCGTTTCGCGGGGGCTTGTTTCGCCATGGCGAAGCGAACTCTGCAAGGTCCAATTCGCCAGGCACTTGAAGGATCCAGACGGGAAGGGGGAGCTGGCGGGCAGACCCTATAATGGGTGGGTCGGGTCGAGAGGGCGGACCCTGACGGGCGGGTCGGGTCGGGCATGCGGGACATGTAAAGTAGGACGCATCATCGACTTAGCACGCGCGAGCCTTAACGGGCGGGTCGGGTCAGGCGGGCGGACACCAACGAGCAGGTCGGGTCGGGCGGGCGGACCTTAACGGGCGGGTCGGGTCGGGCGGGCGGGACATTAAAGTAAGATGCGCCATCGATTTAGCACGCGCGGGTCGGGTCGGGCGGGCGGACCCTAACGGGCGAGTCGGGACGGGCGGGCGGACCGTTAACGAGCGGGTCGGGTCGGGCAGGCGGGACATTAAAGCAGGATGTATCATCGACATAGCACGCGCGAGCCCTAACTAACAGGCGGGTCGGGTCGGGCGGGCGGGCGGACCCTAACGGGCGGGTCGGGTCGGGGGGGCGGATCCTAACGAGCGGGTCGGGTCTGGCGGGCGGAGCCAGGCGAATCGAGACTCGGGCGAACTGATCCTGGGCGAATCGAGCTGGGCAATTCGAGCCTCGGGGGAATCGAGCCAGCCGAATCGAGCCCCGAGCGAATCGAGACTCGGGCGAATCGAGCCGGGCGAATCGAGCCAGGCGAATCGAGCTGGGCGAATCCAGACTCGGCGAATCGAGCCAGGTGAATCGAGCCGAGCTGGGCGAATCCAGACTCGGGTGAATCGAGCCTACGCCGGACAGTTGTCATCCCCCGAACCTGCTCTTGCGACAGGTGGTGCGTGAACGCGGCAGCCGCGCCAGGGAACGGGCTGGGTGTCATGTGCACCGCAGGCGCCACCAGGATGGGCCTGCTTTTGCCTCTCGGAGTCGTGGGCATCGCGGACGCCACCAAGCGGCGCTGTGGCTGCGACCAGCCCGCGGTGCTGCGAGGAGAGCGCGCGGCCATCGCGGCCCCGCTGGCGACCCCGCTGGCGTGGAGTTTCCCCGTGTTGGTGTTGTTGCTGGCATCCATGCTGTTCAGGAGGCGGTCTCCTTGCGGGTTCCCTGCCACGCCAACTACGCTGGGGTACTGCGTCTTTCCCAACGATGCACGCGCAGCCTGGGCAAGGATGTCGGTCAGGAACTAATGTTTCGCGTGTCGCGGCGACGGCCCCGCCCCGGCGGCACGCTATGCCCTGCGAGCTGATAGCGTGTCGTTCCGCTGCGCGTGGCGGAAAGCTCGGGAGAAGCTCGGGACGCTGACACTTTGAAGCTGGGACGCGGATAGGGTGTCGCGCCCAAGCGTGGTGGACCAGAATCGGCGCTGCGACTCGCTGGGCAAACGTTCCTGGCCGCAGCGCCTCGGGCGCGCCGTGGCGCAGCACCGGCGAGTACATCAGGCCGTCCATGACGAAGCGCTGCAAGCGGCGTTGCGGCAGAGGCGGGCGCGTGTCAAATCTGAGCCAAACGGCTTAGTGGTAGGAGGAGAAAAAGCAGGAGGAGGAGGAGGAGGAAGAGAAGGAGGAGGAGGCGGCGGCGGCGGATCAGCATGTGGTCAGAGTCTCGGCAGAGCAGAATGGACGACCGCTGGGCGCACGAGAGCTGCTGTAGCCCTGGCGTTGTCAAAAGAATCGACCCCCCCCCCCAGCAGGCTCAAAACCCACCCATGGGGACTCCACTGGGTATGTAACGGGCCGTGAAGCCATTACCCTACCATAAGCAAAATCGCACTTTGGAACGGCTCCAACAGTCACGGGCGATTCGGCGAAGGGGCAGGGGGCGATACGGCGCGCCTGATTGCACAACAGCTCGGGGGGAAAAAAGGGGGGGTGGAAGGAAGAGAGAATTGCTCGAAGCCAGATGTCGTCCCCGCCGGGCGCTTGGGGTCGCCACCCCCACCGGTCCATGACCACAAGACGGGACGACACGCGCGACCACGGCTTCACTATCCCAGCCTCCGCAAAGCAGGGGACAGGGACGGACCGACGACACGGGGAGACCAGACAGACGGGGGACGGGAACGAGGGCAAGCACGCAGCACAGCAACAGCAGGAGGCAGGGATTGATCAAGAAAAACGTGGTACCAAAATTTACACACAACATTCTCGCACAATACATGCATTGATGTGGGCGTGTGCTCACGGCATTGATAACAAGCTGCCGTAACACTGCTCGTGGGGTCTCACAAGTACACGGCAATGTGCAATTCCATTATATGGGATACAACACGGGGGAATTAAAAGGGGTACTGACTTCACCACGGCACGCCGCAACGGGCATCTAAGGCGCAACGAAGATGTAACGAGTTTCGGTGCCGAGGAAGCTCAGTTTGAGACCCGACTTCGGACCAACATCCTCTGCTCAGACACACCGACCGCGCGATTCTTACCGACCGCGCTTCCCCTTCCCCTTGCCACGGCATCTACCACGCGCGCGCTGCTACTACTCTGGGGGCTGTGAACGCCCATGAATCGCACTCTGTCGCGCTCTGTGATGCTTGTGGTAGGTCTCGCTTCTACCCATTTTGCGTTGCTTGCGGCTGCTGAGCATATTCTGATGGCTGTTCTGTACTTTGGGTTATTGAATTACCAGGGGGGTGCTCCTACTGTCGGCTCGCTGCCCAGTTTCATGCAGAGTTTGATGATGATGATGCTGCTCATGGAGATGCAGAACCCGCCCACCGTGCGGTAACTGTTCACGAAGAACGTATGACGCACCTGCGGAGTCTGGCCCTCCTTCTGGTATGTGATATTGGCCCTCTGGTAGCGTATGTATTCGCTCGCCACTGGCATCGGCTCTTGAGCCACCCTCTGGACGAACGCCTGGAGCACGCCCAACTCCTCTTTCACGGACGGGCCCTGCTGGAGCTGCGGCGACCCGCATATGGCTTCCAAGACCGCAGTCCCCACAATGAGAGACGGTGGCCCCATCCCGCGCTCCCCGCCCTTCCCCTCCACCTTCTCCGCATACACGCTGGCCGACGCCAGTGCAACTGGGTTCAGCGCCCGCTCGGTTGGGAGCAAGTGGGTGGTGAGGAGGGCGCCCTCGAGCATGCGAGTACGCTGGGCCACATCCAGGTACCCTTTGCACATCTCGACTGCCGCATCGCCCTCGCTGTCCTGATCGAGAATGTCGTCTCCTCCCCCCGCGGCCGCGCCTGGGCCCCGCGCGGGGCCCTCCTGGCGGCCCTTCTTGGGCTCGTGCCCTCTGATCCTGCTGTTCCCGCCAGCGCTGAACAAGGGCTCCGTGGAATTGCTCGCCATGCGCTTGCGGGCGCCCCTCAACATCTCGTCGCCGATCAAGCCCGCCCACCATTGGGCCGACATCGAAGGAGAAGCTCGCTGAGGAGGGCAGGAGGACGCGGCTTCGAATGTGCACCTGGAGAGCCTCAAGACTACTGTGATCAGCGGTGCACGCTGGGCATCGGCATGTAGTAGGTTGCTCCACGGCGAACTGGGACGGGTTCCGATGAGCTCAACACCTACGTCGTCTCCTCCCCTCGCGGCCACGCCTGGGCCCCGCGCGGGGCCCTCCTGGCGACCCTTCTTGGGCTCGTGCCCCCTGATCCTGCCGCTCCCGCCAGCGTTGAACAAGGGCTCCGTGGAATTGCTCGCCATGCGCTTGCGGGCGCCCCTCAACATCTCGTCGCCGATCAAGCCCGCCCACCATTGGGCCGACATCGAAGGAGAAGCTCGCTGAGGAGGGCAGGAGGATGCGGCTTCGAATGTGCACCTGAAGAGCTTCAAAACTACTGCGATCAACGCTGCACGCTGGGCATCGGCACGTAGTAGGTTGCGCCGCGGCGCACTGGAACGGACTCCGACGAGCGCAACACCTATGGCGCATGAAAAGAGACCACGCGCGCTGGCGCGCAATAGCACGAGTCGACAATGCATCCATGCACTACGGGCACTGGTTCGCAACAGTAAGTAAAGTGCTGAGCGCTCTGTCTCCATGGGCCCCACCGGTCGTAAATCGCACGTGGGCGCACCAACCCTGTTGGTCATAGAACTGAAGTCCACGCGCCGCCCCACCACTACATGATCCATTGCATGTCCACGTGGGTCGGGGGAGGTCAGACACATCACCATCATCATCATCATCATCATCCTCATCATCATCATCATCATCATCATCATCATCATCAAGGGCTGGCTCGGGCGCGCCCTCATGCCTGCCCCCCCCCCCCCCCCCCCTCCCCGCATTGACAATGCCAACGAAACCTTGCGCATATGTTCGAAATGTAGTTGTCCAAACTGCTTGTTAAGCCCGTCATTGGACGCACGTAGCCGCGCGCCGCCCATAGCTTCAAGGAGCGCGGCGCCACCTGGAATCAATCGAATCGCCCCCAGATTTTCGCGAGCCTGCAGGCCCAAGGACTTCCATGGAACTTCCCCGCATCATCCCGCGCAAGCTGCCAGCCCCGAAAGGCCCCCGTCGGTTCACATGGTAGTCGGCCAACAAGAGCCGCTAGAAGTTGGGCAATTTCTTGTCTATGCAATGCAATCTGTTGAGTCCACTCGAGGTGGGCGGGCCTGGTGTTTCATGCCCCCTCTCAGGTATGGGAGTTTTTAACACGGCCCGTCCTCTGGGAAGCCGTTTGCCCTTTAAGAAAAGCAAGCCGTCGATAACTTTATAGTCGCTCTGCAGGGGGATGAACGCCTCCAACCTGCCCAGGGCCGCACATTGCACGCGGGCCTGAAATACGGTTCGATTTCTCTTGCTACCCACATGTCGCGCGTACCAGAACTTACCCATATAATGCAACCCACGCCGCATGTGTTTTGTAATGATTTGCCTCTGCTGCGCCGTGCTGTAGTGTTGGTTGCACTGGATGCCAAGGTATGCCGATGTCGTGCGCAGGCACCCCGCATAATTCTGGACGTCCCCAAATTCCCACAAGCGGTCGTCAAGTTGCGTGCTAGCCCCGTGGACTCCACGAGCGAGTGCGCGCGCATTGGATGCAAAAACCTCGCGCGCAAGATCGCCCATAAACACCGTCGCCGAAAGGTCGACGGGCACATCATTAAACAGGCTGGTAATGAGTAGCTCCCGCCCATTTTCCTGCTGCTGTCGGTCCTGGAGCCAAGGTTCGACAACGACCCTCTGGAACGTATGATTAGACTTGCTCGGCGCACTCAGATAGCCTTGCAGCATTCCGTCCTGGATCTGGCAAGTGATGACGCCATCCGAACAACCGAGAGTCACGAAGATATTGTGGTTGCACGATGCTACAAAAAACGTCCTCGAGGTGGTAATGCATACCGTCCGCCTCGTGCACACGGGCAGCCCGCACGCTCCCGAAAGCATTGGCCTGGTCGAAAAATATCGTCACCTGTGACTTTCCCATTCTAGTTAGACGCCAACTCGAGATACGCTGCACCCTAACTGCCGACCAACGCCATCTATGTGCGATGCCCCCGTGCATGCAACTGTGGTACGCACGCTCAGGATACGCACGCGCACCACGTCGCTCGACCTGCCTGAGCATAGCCTTCGACAAAGGGCACACCCTATGGACAAGCCGCAGGATTTTATGCCGGTCGCAGCGGTGGCCTTGGGACGGCAACATCCCCAACATCGCCTCCAGTCCCTCGGGATTGTGGCCAACACCTCACCGACCATAAGATGCCACGGAGACGCCGAGTAAACCAGAGCATCGGAGGAATACGATCGAAAAAAACATCGCCTATATCGCGATACCGAGGGTCACGACGTGCGGGTAAGAGGAGCATGCGATAGACCTCCATGGGGAGGCTCCAGGGGGGGGGGCGCTCTTCCTATACTTCATACGCACAAGAGCTGCTCGAATATCGTCAAGGTCCTGGTCCACATCATTCTTGGAATTTTGGTTCCATAGGTGCATGCCGTCCTGGCGCTCATGGCGCTCAGGTGGGTGGGTGGCCGGGTCAACGCCAACAGCACGCTGGCCTCCAAGGTATCCTGGTTTGGCTGGGTGGTCGCTCCACATCTAGACCATGCGACGATACGTTACAGGACTGTTATACAACCTGCGGCCCGCACCGACAGTCGTAGCTGCCAGCCGCCGGCAAAGCCAGTGGACGAGGGCATGCTGATTGGCCTTCCAAGCTTGGACAACATGCTGGCTCAAACTGTCTGCCCGACGAGTGTTACAGGCGAGTTGTTTGTCGATGACCTCCCGCGTGACCCGGAACAGTCGCTGCCGAATCTGCGTGAGCTCGGTTGTCTCAGCGCCGTCACATTCGTCGAGGCGTTGTCGAAGAGTCGCACGCTGCTCTAGAAGACTACGTTGCTCAGCCCGTGCACGCACATACCCTTCATCCTCCTCCGTGTGCTGCGCATTGTACTGTAGTGCAATGCGCCGAATGTCCTGCACAGGGGCCTCCCACCCCTCATCTGGTGCAGCAAGGCTCTCATGTCGCTTCCACTGAACATACGTGCGCTCACACTGCTCCTCCACATTCCAAAACCGAGCCCGCCATAACCCTTCCACCACTCCCTCCACAAGGCGA